TAGAAATGTTAAACATTTTTTCAAATATTTGTTGACTCTTTCTATTTCTTCTTTTGAGAAGTGTCTATTTAGTTATTTTCCCCTTTTATTGATTGGGTTATCTTGTTTTTTGGTGTTAAGTTTTTGGGTTTTTTTTTTTTTTTGTATATTCTGGATATTAATGCCCTATCTGAAGAGCAGATGGCAAAGATTTTCTTCCATTAAGTAGGCTCTCTCTTCGTGCTCTTGTTTGCTTTGCTATGAAAAAAATCTTTTCAATTTGATACCATCTCATTTATCAATTTTTTATCTTATTTCTTGCACTTTAAGACTCTTGTTAAGAAAGTCAGTTCCTGTAGACCCTCATTGTTATACAAAATTACATATAAGAGGATGTGAGGGAAAATGGAAAAGAGAGAGAGAAATGAATTACAGTAGATGGGGTAGAGAGAGAAGATGGGAGAGGAGGGGAGGGGAGGGGGGATAGGAAGGGGATAGGAAAGGCAGCAAAATACAACAGACACTACTATGGCAGTATGTATAAATGTGGATGTATAACCAGTGTGATTCTGCAATCTGTACACGTGGTAAAAATGAGAGTTCATAACCCACTTGAATCAAATGTATGAAATATGATATGTCAAGAGCATTGTAATGTTTTGAACAACCAATAAAAAAAGAAAGTCAGTTCCTGTGCTTAAATGTTGGAGTGTTGGGCCTTCATTTTCTTCTAGCAGCTGCAGAGTTTCTGGTATAATTTCTAGGTCTTGATTCACTTTTGGTTGAGTTTTGTGCAGTGTAAGAGATGGGGATTACATTTCATTCTACTATATATGTATTTCCAGTTTTCCCAGGCTCGTGTGTTTAAAAATGTCATCTTTTCACCAATGTATTTTTCAGCACCCTTTTATAGTATCAGATAACTCTATTCATGTGGAATTGACTCTGTGTTTTCTATTCTGTTCCATTGGTCTTTGTGCCTGCTTTGGTGCCAGTACCATTCTATTTTTGTTACTACACCTCTATAGTATAATTTGAGGTCCAGTATTAATGACGCTTCCTGCTTCATTTTTCTTGCTGAGAATTGTTTTGGCTATTATGGGTCTCTTATTTTTTCCAAACAAATTTCATAACTGCTTTTTCTAATTTTGTGAAGAACATCATTGGAATTTTGATGGGAATTGCACTGAATCTGTATAGCATTTTTTATAATATAGCCATTCTGACAATATTAATTCTGCCTATCCAACAACAGGGGAGGACTTTCCATCTTATAAGGTCTTCTTCAACTTTTTTCTTTATTGTTCTATAGTTTTCATTGTAGAGATCCTTCACCTTTTTTGTTAGATTGATTCCTAAGTTGTTTTTTTTTTTTTTTTTTTTTGTTGTTGTTGTTGTTTTATTTTGTTTTGTTTGGGGAGCTATTGTGAATGTAATAGTTTTCCTCATTTATTTTTCAGCAGAGTCATCATTAAAGAATAGAAACATGATTTATGACTTTTGATCTTGTATCCTACATCATTGTTGAATTCATTTATGAACTCTTAAAGTCTTCTGGTAGAGTTTTTTGGGTCTTCTGAATATAGAATCATGTTGATAGAAACAGATAATTTGATCTCTTATTTTCCTACTTGTATCCTTTTATTTCCTTCTCTTGTCTGATTGCTCTGGCTAGAGTTCAAAGACTATATTGAATAGGAGTGATGAAAGTGGGCATCTTTGTCTTATTTCTGTTTTGGAGAAAATGTTTTCTGTTTTTCTCCATTCAGTATAATGTTAGCCTTAGGTTTGTTATATATAGCCTTTACAGTGTTAAGGTAAGTTCTTTCTATCCCTATTTTTTCTAGTGTTTTACACATGAATGGGTGCTGTACTTTGTAAAATGCTTTGTCTGCATCTGTTGAGATAATCTGTGACTCTTGTCCTTAAGTCTGTTTATGTGTGAATTATATTTATTGATTTCCATGTGATACACCAACCTTGCATTCCTGGGATAAAACCCCTTGATCATGATGCACTGTCTTTTTAATGTGTTTTTGCATGCAGATTGCCAGTATTTTATTAAGAATTTTTGCATCTGTGTTCATCAAGAATATTGGTGTGAAGTTTTCTTATGTTGATGTACTTTGTCTGGTTTTGGTATGAGAGTGATACTGGCCTCGTAGAATGAGTTTGACAGTGTTCCCTCCTTTTGTATTTCCTGGAATAATTTGAAGAGGATTGGTATTAGTTCTTCTTTAAAGTTCCAGTAAAACTTGGCTGAGAATTCACCTGGTCCTGGACTTTTATTTTTTTTGGAAGTCTTTTAATAGTTGCTTCAATTTCATTGATACTTGATATTGATCTTAGTTTTCTATGTTCTCATGGTTCAATTTGGGTAGGTCAAATTTCTCTAGGAATTTTTCAGTATCTTCAAGATTTTTTAGCTAATTGGAATATAAATTTTCAAATTAGTTTCTGATGATATTCTGGATTTCATTAGTGTCTGATGATATTTCCTTTTTCATCTTGAATTTTGTTAATTTGAGTTTTGTCCCTCTTTCTTAGGTTCATTTGGCTAAAGATTTATCCATCTTGTTTATTCTTTCAAAACAAATCAACTTTTCATTTTGTTAATCATTTGTATTTTTTTATTCTCAATTTCTTTGATTTCAGCTCTGTTTTTAAGTATTTCTTGTCTTCTACCAATTTGGGTGTTGGTGTGTTTTCTTTTTCTAGGGATTTGGGATTACTTATTTGGTACCCTTCTATTCTTTTAATGTATGAACTCAATTCTATGAACTTTCCTCTTAGAACTGCCTTCATACTGTCCCAGAGACTTTGATATATTATATTACTATTCTCATTTTTATAACAATTTTTTACTTCTCCCCTGGTATCCATTCCTTCTACTATTCATTCATTATTCAAAAGTATATTTTTTTAGTCTTCAGGTTAATGGTAGTTTTGACATGGAAGGAGTCCAGAAAGAGTTGTCATTTTCTCTTAAGACAGAGTTTTAGCCTTAGAGAGATAAATTAAGTTCTATAATTTCTGATACAAAGCAGAAACACAGGCTATTTTGCTTTGTAGGATCCTTTCTCCTAAGTACTGCACTATACTACCTTTCATAACAGTGAATAAGTTACAAAAATAACTCAAAGAATTAAAATAAAAACTATTAAAAATTAGGGAAATGATGGCAAAAAGAATATAGTATAAGGAAACTTTACTTTTAGAAGAGTCACCCATTGAGAAGTATTAGTTTATAGAAGTAATTACTAAAAAATAAAAATAAAAATTATTTTGAAAAGTAATCATTGAGGTGGCCTGCACCACGACAGAGCAGGTTCCTGCCAAGGAGCTATGAACTGCCTTGGAAAATAAAAAGTCTGAAATAATCAGTAAAAAATGAAGATATATTCAGAAATTAGTTTTAAAGTGGAGCGTCTGATGGATCTTCCAGACCTGATAGGAGCTGGAACTGAACAATTGAAAAAAGGCCCTGATTCTTTATTTAAGGGGGAGTACCTCAAAGGCAGAGGTAAGGTTTCAATGGGAGGAGTCTTGTTTTGGTGCTTGCTTCTGCTGTGGCAGGGGTCTTGCAGTACACAGGTTGATTGGCATTTGACAAGCCATCTTAAGATACACACATCTTCAAGAGATTATCTGGGTCCAGTGGGTCACTCCCATCTCAGGAGCTGAGATAGAACTTGAGTAATGACCTGAGCAGGGCACTACACAAATCGGGCATTCTTGAATCAGTGGATTCTTACTGGGAGTTCCTGATACTAGGCTTTTCTGCCTAATTGGTCCAACATAGCCCAGTTTAGCCATAGTTCATAGGTGGCTCCCAGCAAGTAATCACCTATGACGAATGGGACAAAAGCTTTTCATTACAAGCCCACTTATTGTATTGTGCATGTGTAACTTTTATTTTGGGGAAAAGAATGAATTTGGATTGCAGCTGAGTCAAAATAAAAAACTGAACTTGCTTTCATCTAAGCTATTACAAAATTATATAAAAGATATTTCAGTCCCTAATAATTATAATGAAGAGTTCCATCTATGGATCAAAAATAATTGAAGAATCTCTGAAAAATATAAGAAAGAGAGGAAGGAGAGGGATGGAGGGGAAAGAGAGAAGTAGGTCTCTTTTATAATGTGAATGTTTTAGTCAGCTTTTTTGCTGCTGTGACCAAAATACCCAACAAGAACAATTTTAGAGGAGGAAAAGTTATTTAAGGGCTCAAGTTTCAGAGGTCTCAGTCCATAGATAGTTGGCTTGATTCCTTGGGACTGGAGGTGAGGCAGAACATCATGGTAGAAGAATGTGACAGAGAGAAGCAGCAAACATGATGATGAGGAAGTAGGAAGAGACTCCACTCACCAGACACAAAATATATACCCCAAAGGCACACCTCCAATGACCCACCTCAGTTTCCAGCCACACCCTACCTGCCTCAGTTTTCACTCAGTTAATCACCATCAGGGGATTAATTTACTGACTGGGTTAAGATTCTCACAACCCAATCATTCCTCTTCTGAACCTTCTCACATTGTCTCACACATAAGTTTTTGGTGGACACCTCATATCCAAACTGTAAGAGTGAATAAATTTATCTATTATTTGTGTGATATTTTTATAAAATCATTTAGCAAAATTGAATTTTTATTAAAGAAGTTGGTTCCAGAGGACACAACAGAAAAGGATGAGAAAAGCAAAAAGACAGAAAACACTTTTGTCCCTGAAAGTAGAAAATTTGAAGAAGGAGGTATTTTGTTTTTCATTCTTTGACTAAGGCTTAAAGGATGAGAAGAAAGATTGTAAGAAACTGGTCCTGATTTCAGATAAAGTTGTTTTTCATTTGTACTGTTAAAGTGTACCAGTAAGTATCTGGTCTAATCCCATGAGGTTTATAGGAAGACAACAAAAAACCCTCTCCTAAACTTAGATATTGGTTACCCTTAAGCTAAAAATTACTATTATTTTCTTATGAGGTGTTACTGCCTTTATAATGTGTCAGATCATTCTCTTTTAGGGACCTCCAGGCATTGAGGGAGAATCTGGTCTACAAGGTGAACTGGGTACTAAGGTAAACTTCCTATAACAGTTAAAGAGAGGTTCTCTAAACTGTCACCATTGAATTCTTTGCATTTGCCCCATTGTTGCAAACACAGATCTTGAAATTTGATGAAGGCCCACAGATAAAAACTGTGAAGTATTTTGGAATTCCTAACCCTTTATGATATGCCTGCCCTAGATATGCAGTTTTAGTGAAAAGAGTTTAGTCTTTCCCTTTGTTTATTCAGGGAGATGTTGGACCTGTGGGCAGTGTTGGAGGACCTGGGGAACCAGGATTACGAGTAAGTACTTTCACAAAACCTTTTTTTTTTTTTTAATTTTTTATTGTTGGCTGTTCAAAACATTACATAGTTCTTGATATATCATATTTCACAATTTGATTCAAGTGGGTTATGAGCTCCCATTTTTACCCCATATACAGATTGCAGAATCACATCAGTTACACATCCATTGATTTACATATTGCCATACTAGTGTCTGTTGTATTCTGCTGTCTTTCCTATCCTCTACTATCCCCCCTCCCAATCCCTAAAAAACAAATGCCAAATGTCTTCTTTGATATAAGGAGAGTAACTAAGAACAGAGTAGGGTCGAAGAGCATGAGAAGAAGGTTAACATCACAAAACCTTTTTAATGCACTGACTCATTAATTTCAGGGACTTAAAACTTACCATTTTAAACATCTCAAATACAGCATAATAAACCTTTCTGATCCCTTTAGAAAATGTTTGTCTTTATTTAATAATCTCAAAAGCTGAAACTAAACCCTGTTTACATTCTCACTTAGAGGCATTTCGAGTCCTAACCCCATATACTATTTCCTCAAAATCAGTTGCCAAAAATGTGGCATCACTGTGATTGTCACTTATAGTAGCCTTTGGAAGGAATTCATGAATACCAGTGACCAACTCTCAGGATATCTCCTGACCTAAAAGAGATGAAAGATTGAAATCTAATTTATATTTTAAAAAGCACCCTAGAATCATGTAAAGTTAATAATATGCAAAGAAATATTATAAATAGTTGTAATTTATTATCTTAGAGAAGTTTTTTACTATGATGGATAGCTTTATTTTGAGCTGTAGTAAGGAATTTTCCCCAAGAACACAGTATCTGAGAAAATTTTAAGAAGCATTTGTTCATTAAAAGACAAACTGGGGAAATATACTTTTGTATCTGCTTTGTTTCTTTTCACTTTCCCTTTTTTAGGGTAGTGGAGTGAGTCAGATGTGAGGGTGATGGAAACATCAGTGATGGGAGATATAAATAACTATTAATAAAAATGAATAAATTTATTTTAAAATAATTTAGGCATCAAGAGACCCAGTGCTACTCTAATAGCTTCTTAAACTATGACTCTAATATTTCTTTAAGTTCCCTATGTAGAGGGCAGCTTCTCAAGGTTTCATGACCTCTCTGCTGTCTTTCAAGGAGAAACCCTAAAAATCTGGTAGAATAATCATAGTCAAGTAAATTGAGCATAGCAAAATACACTATTTAATGAAATGTAGTATTTACATTCCTTGAACTCAAAAGCACACGTTTAGAGCTACCACATGAATATGTTAATTACCTAACATTTATTAATATTCTGGAACCATCTTATATTTAAATTTACAACATTCTATTTAAATTTTCTGCTAAGCTATTTAAGGCAAATTAAATCATTCTTATTCTGTCATATCCTCTTTATAGATAAAGTAGAAGTAGAAATAAATTGAATACAAACTTACTACTTTCTATACGTGCTGGGACAAAGAGTAAAGATAAATAAGATAAATGATCATAGTAAAAAAATTAATCTTACTGTTTCTGCTACATAATAGGGTGAACCAGGGGCTCCTGGAGAAGAAGGTCTCCAGGGAAAAGATGGATTAAAGGTAAACTGTATTTTTAATCTTACATATAAAATAGATGTTTTGTGAAATCTTTAATAAAACATTAAACGATTGTTTTTGTATGCCATATACAAACCAGTATATTGTGTGGCATAATTATTTCACTGCATTTCTTTTGAAATTTTTTTCATTGATTTCCAGGGGACTCCAGGAGAAAGGGGACTTCCTGGAGAAGATGGAGAAAAAGGAGAGATGGGCTTACCAGGAACTATTGGGCCCTTTGGTAGTCAAGGTAGAATGGGCCTTCCGGTGAGTACTGCTGTGTTCATTTTCAAATACTCAGTGAACTCAGTTCCTATATGTATGCATATACCCACCCCCCAACACATACAAACACACTTTAGTAACTGAAGTGTTAAATTGTGCCTTGAGAAAGGGGCAATGTAGGGACTATTTATCCACCCTCCAGATACAAAAAGGCCTGGAATTTCTTATGTAAACCATTTGTAAGGGAATATTTTTTGTTGTCTTAGTTTGATTGAATATTTTTAACTTTATTCATAGAATAGACATTCTTATTGTAAATTTAATAGCTTAGATGCAGCATGGAAACTCTTTATAAGCACACTATTAGCTATCGATGTTTGATCCTGAATTGTATTACTTTAAAGAAAATTCTAAATGTCATGGAATCAATTCCCTCACCTTTAGACAAATGGAAGATGTGAATAAATAATGCAAACAGCTTCTCTCTAGCTTCAACACTTAACTTATAGGATTTGTAATATTCTTCCATACAGCTGACTGATAACTTTACTTTCCTGTTTCTTGTCTTTGGGAATACTCTTCTTTTTTGGAAGTTATCCCTTATGACCCTACCAGAAAATTCTCTTTCCTCTGAACTCCAACAATCATCATCAGCCTTTGAAAGATTAAAAGTTAACTTTTAAGCATTTGGTCTGCTTTTTCAGGGAGATCATACCTATTCTGAAGCAAATACTCTTCCCATAAACCTCAGTATTTCTACAAGGGGGGCTCGATAAAGATTGAGAAACTGATCATGCAGATGGGGTGGGAGACAAAGTAGTGATTTATAACGTTGGTTATCTTTTTGTGTTCTTCCTCTACTTTTCTTCCTTTGGCTTCCAACCTTCAGATCATTAGTGTCCTATATATGATAGTCCCTGCCCCATTCAGCTCAATTAGTTTGCAGAACAAAGAAGAAAGCTCTTCAACTAATGCCATAAGTGATGCACAAACTGGCCATCTCATCATTCACATTTACTCGTGGCTATAATTCCTTTAGTAGCAATTAAAATGGTGCTATAACACATCTTTCCCCAAATAATGGATAATCGTACCAGTGTATTTCAAAGTGACATTTGAAGAATGAGGATAAACCAGAAGTGGTTGTGAGCACTAGCAAATTGAGTCATTTTTCCTTCCATTTTTACCATAGTGGTGCAATGCCTATATTTTCACTCAGTCCTAAATAACTGTGATGAGTATTCCACCATAGCATACACAAAGTCCCAGAGAATCCTCCCTAAACTATCTTAAATATCTTTGCCCCAGACACTGAGCAAAACACACTCATTTATATATTCTCATACCATCCTAATAACTATAGATACTATTTCCCATTTTGTAACTGGAAAAAACTCAGACTCACAGTCTAGTAGTTCATACAAGAAAATACAGCAGATAGCTGAGCTGGCACTAATTCTTTATTTTCTGACTTCTGTTTTGAGAAAACAGAAGAGAGAGCCTTGCCTAAATAGCAGTTTTGGTACTATCTTTTGCCTTCCTAGGGTTATTGGTAGTTTTGTAAAATCTTTTTTAGAGAATTTATTTTTTTTTTCCATTAGTATCAGGCTAGACCCACAGAGAAGCCAGGTAACAAGTTCAAGAAATTGTGATTATCTTCCTGATAATTCTTGTTGTTTTTATATTTTAAAATGTTTTTATATTTTAAAAGCTGCTGATAATTATTCATACTCTAGCATGGATTTTTTTAAGCCAACTAACTTAGTTCCTAGCAAGGCAAACACACTGGGAAAAAGGAAAGACATACAAAGCAGGGACCCTCAGGATGATGCAGCATGACAATTGATGATGGGAAGAGCAGAAATGAAGGGGCTCAAAACAAGGCATGGAAAAATGATAAACACAGATTTCATCTGCTTCGTAATTTTTCCCAGGAACAATTCTGCCTAGTACACATCTTTGGTGCCTTTTTTAGTAACAACACGTGTGTTTCTTTTTTATTCTTTTTGTTGTTCTCCTTGGAATTTTAAATGCCTTTCAGCTTATAAACTCAATAAAAATACCATGGCATATTTTTTCAAAAGAATTTTTTGATCCAAGGAACTATTGCTTAATCAGACAGCCTGGTGTTGGATTTATTTTTCACTTTTAAAATTCTTCCTTAAGCAGTGTCACAAAGATACTACCTCGGGTTCTTACAAAATCAACAAAAAAGAGAGTGAGAAAAAGAAAGAAAACTTCTTAAATTTTTTTTCAAGGAAGGAGAACCTTTCTTACATTCTTTTTACTTCCTAGAAGATTGAGAATGATTGAAAAACAAGGAAGCATTCATTAGCAAATTCCAAATTCATACTATAGAATTCTTTGAATAGGAAAAAAATTATTTATCTTATACTTGAATTCTCTGCTAAACTGTCCAGTTTCCCAAATGCATAATTCTGTATGATAAAAGAGCATCTGAAAAGAAATACCTACTGGACTCACAGTCTGTCATCCATTCCTAAAAATTCTACTTCTGTGGTACCTAAGATCTAAACACATGTGGAGCTGGGAACTCCAAAGTAGAACATATTAAAATGAAATTATCTTGTTTTATTCCTTTAGTACAAAATTCAGTTGGATTTATTTATGTCAGCTAACACATGTGTATTTGGATTCAGTATAGTTGTGGAGTACTGACATAATCAAGAGTTTCGTTTATATTACAACAGAGGTTTAATATTTTAAAAATATTATATATGTAAGTCACATATTTTACAAACCAAAGAAAAAATATAATTATTCCAAGAGATGAAAACAAAAAATTAATGAAATTCATATCCATATATCAACTATCATGCTTAATGTGGAAACATCAAATAAATGAACTAAGTACCACTCTATAGTCACCATTTCCATGTAATATTTACTCAGAGTCCCAGCCAGGATAGCAAAGCAAAATAAATAATCTCTAAATTATAAGAATTAATGAGGGCTGGGATATAGCTCGATGGTAGAGCACTTTCCTATCATGTGTGAGGTCCTAGGTTTGATTTCTAGCAAAAAAGAATCAATGAGAATTCAGGAAGTTGTACAATATAAAATTATTATATAAAAATTGGTTCTGTTCTTTTTCACCAGTAATAAATAGTTAGAAAGCTTTTTTACATACAATTTTAAATATAACTAACAACAAAATTAAGTACCTTATAATAAACCTATCAAAATATTTGCAAAAAACTTGTGGAAAATTTTTACAATTTGAAAAAAAATCTTGGCCAGTTTATTAAAGACCTAAAAAATAGATTTATGGATTGGAAGTCTTCATACAATAAAATGATAAAATTCTCCTCTAAATTAATTTATACATTTAGTATGATTTCCATCAAAATCCCTATAGGAAATTTTTGTTTATAGAACTTGATTGATGAAAAGTAATTTTAAGGGCTAGGGCTATAGCTCAGTGGTAGAGCACTGGCCTCACATGTGTGAGGCACTCGATTCAATCCTCAGCACCACATAAAAACAAAAGTAAACAAAATACAGATATTGTTTAAAAAAGTGATTTTAAAATTAATGTTGAAGACCAAAGAGCAAAAATCGATACAATTTTAAAGCAAATTGGGAACCGGGGGCAGAGGTGAAAGGGAGAACTTGACCTACCTAATAAGAGTAATTAACTGTGTAATGTTTTGAACAACCAACAATAAAAAATTAAAAAAAAAAGAGTAATTAACTTAATTGTTCACATGTTGACCAATGCAAATAGAAGATAACCTAGATCTAAGTAGATTTTGAAATGTTTCATAATTTGATATTGCACTGTGTATTTATAAGGAAAAGCTGAACTATTCAATAGATGAATTACTATAATTGGTTATCCCAATGGGGGAAACTCTCTCCCACACACAAATGCACATATGTGCTTACACACATCCATGCACACACTACGAATTAAATTCTGATTAAAGTTCTAGCTATGGAAATAAAAATTTTAAAACTTTTAGTAGAATATTTAAGAGATTTTTATGACCTCATGGGAGGAGTGGAAACAGTAAGAATCATAACAAAACATGAAAAGGAACAAGCAAATATTGATGAATTTGACTACATTAAAATTGTAAACTTGTGTTAATCAAAAGTAACAAATACAGTGAGAAAAATCAGCTAAGGCTACAAGAGATTTGTAATATATAGAAAGTGAACAAATATATGTAAAAACTTTCATGTAACTCAAAGAAAGCAGAATTCAGGAACCAGAAAATCAAGCAGATATATCAAGTAACTATATGAGTAGATGCTCATTTCTCCTTAATAACCAGTAATGCAAATTGAAATCAAAGATAACATCATTTTGTTCTCATGGGATAGACATTTTTAAGTTCAATAGTACCAAACGTTACAGAAGATACAGAGTAACTGGAACCCCTATCCATTTGCCATGGAATGTAAATTGGCAAAACTACTTTGGAGAATGATTTGGCAATGTCTAGTATAGTATATTGTAGTATTGTATAGAAGATATACATATTCTGCAACCCAGCAAGTCAACTCTAGGGTTTATAACCTAAAAAAAAACTCTTAACATAGATACAGGGAGGTATGCACAGGATGTTTATAATATATAACACATTACCTATATACCAAAAAGTTAACCATTAGAAAAGTGGTTGAATTATGATTTGATAATATGGAATCCTATAACAGTAAAAAAAATGAGAGGTATGTTAAAGACACCCTGAAAAACTGAAAAAACAAAATGTTGTATTAAAAAAATTTGGAATAATGCATAAAATATGATACTCCTTATTTTAAAAGGTATAAAATAGTGACATATTGCTTGGGGATACTATAAATGGAGTTAAGAAATTCATAGTATTAATAAACAAATTCAGAATGATGATTGTACTGAGTGGGGAGGAAGATGATGTGTTTGGAAAGGTATATGTGTATATTGGGGTTTAATTATGTATACATATATTGGTCCTATTTATTAAAGTGGGAGGTAAGTGCATGAATTTTCATTGTATCTTCTAATTTCTTTATAGAATAGTTATATAAAATAGTTAGGTATACTATTGCATGATTTACTTTAAAAACTTGTGAAAATTAATATTTATTGAGCTGTTCATTAAAAGTCTAATCCTTTCTAAATTTTACATGCATTATCTGATTTAATCCTAGTAACTCTTCAAAGAGGTTTTATTGTTCCCCTTTTATCTGGGAAGGAAGCAGAGACCTTTAAAAATTAAATAATTTGCCCAGTGTCCATATAGCTATTATAGCTATTTAGTGCCCAAGTCATAATATGAAGCTGCTTGTGTAGTCTGACTTTTTAAAAGTTCATTTATTCTTTTCAGGGTTCTGAGTTCACAGTAGCTCATAGAAGTGTTAAAATGTATTCATTTGGGTTTAATTCTCTATAGAAGATTCATCAACTTTTTTTTAAAATCCTTATTAGCTACAAAGAACTCAGAATAGTGCAACTATCATTTCTACCTCTGGATGCAGCTATAACTACAGCAATAGAACAAAACTGCTTTGGCCTCTAAACTCAGTGAGGCTAGAAGAGCATTTGCTTGGGAGCACAGGGCATGAGTCATTTCCTTAGGTATCTGTTTATTCGTTCAACAAATATTTATCAAGAGCCTACATAGCACAGTGGTAAACCACAATTTATTTCTTTCTACATCATTTCTGCAGATTGCCAAGCTTTGGGGACACAAATTTGAAATTTCCATTCTCATTTCCAACTAATGAAAGGAATGTTGTGATTAATTATTTGCCATTTTAGAACATCCAACCTGGCTCAATATGGATCACACTTAAGCCTACCCATTGTTGATCTGAAAATTCATGTGGCATAACACTTTTTTAATTAAAAAAAAGTATATATTAAAATTTTTTCATCTACTTTTGACAAAGTACCAATTGAAATGAAAATATTATTTAAACAGTAGTCTCGCTGTATTTTCTCCTCTTCCTTTTTTTCCCCTACAGATCAAAGAATATTTCTTCAAACTTCCATACTCCAGTGAGATTTTGAGATTTTTCTTAACCATGCATTATATTTTATAATCTTATTCTTTCAAGATTCTGAGTTCACAGTAGCTCATAGAAGTGTTAATATGGATTCATTTGTGTTTAATTCTCTTCCCATTAATTAAAATAGTGTATTGAAATAAAGTAATTTTTTTACTGCACAGTTTAGTTTTTCCTATCTTGGCAGGTTTGTGTGTGTGAACTTTATAGTTGGTCACAGTTGTGCTTTTAAATCACTGTGAAAAGTAGCCCTTGTTTTTATTTAGTGTATAATTCAGTGGTTATCTGATGTAAGTATTCAAAATTCCACTCTTTTCTTTAACCATTTATTTATTTTTCTATATTGAATATTCAGGGACCCGAAGGAATGACAGGAACTCCAGGACAAAGAGGTCGTCCAGGAAAAAAGGTAATGTTTAAATATTTTTTAGTATTTTTTTTCTTCTTAAGGCCCAGAAATCCATAGCATGCTATAGTATTTTGATTTGCACTAAATATAAAATTTATAAATTTGGTGTTTAAAGGTACATTTGTATAAATTAATATTTAATTCCACTTAGAAGTATATGTCACTTTTCTTATTTGAAAGCAATTTTCCAGTTTGGAATTTGTTTTTTAAAAAAAAATTCTTTTTCCTTGGTCTCTTGTTTTCCAAAAAATCTTTTAATAGATCATAGGTGAAAAATAAAAAAGATAAAATGAAAATACTCTATCATTTGTGCTATTTGATAACAACTTTAGTAAAATTTTAGAGGGAAAAGATTATAATTGTTTCTGGATTTTTATTAATGTGTTTTTCTAAATTGAGAAGATTAATGATTGATTTTATCTTTCTCATCCAATAAGAACCACAAATTCAGAATATTTTTCAGTTGCTTACTTCATATTTTACTTTTTAACAGTTTACATATTTGTAAAATTCTAATACATTATAATGAAAAATTCATCTTTGTATGGGACCAATAATTTGTTCAAATGTTGATAAGGTATGACAACAGTTTTCACATTGGACTGTGACAATTCAGAATATATTTCTCATAATTAACCAAATCACACCATATTCTAGTTCCCAAAGTCCAGCTCTTGCTTTTTTACAGATGTACACCTACTCCATTATTCTCAAAATTTTGGAACAGTGGAAGGGATAATTAAGAAATAAATAAACAAATGAATGAAGTAAATTTTAGTTGCCATTCGTGCCCATGAAAATAATACCAATATTGAAGTCTCTCTCATTAGATATAATATTATATCCAAAATCAGCATTGAGGCTGGCAGTGTAGTGGGGCATTTGCCTAGCATGCACAAAGCCCTGAGTTTGAGCCCCAGCACACCACACACACACAAACACACACACACACACACATACACACACCTTTACCTTTTCTTTTGTGTCTTCTTGAATATCAATAACAGGAAAGGTTGATTCCCATGTTCAGAAAATGAATAAATACACTTAATGTTGTTTAATAACTATTGTATTTTGGTGCTTAAAGCGGGGGACACTCAGTATAATTGGAAACAGAAGGAAACCAGTTTTCAGAAGGATATAAAATGATATTTTGAAGGCATATGTTAACCTAGTGAGTAATGATCCTACATGTGTAGAACTGCACACTGAAGCCTTTTTTGCATGAAACTGACCTTTGAAATACTGAAATTCTCTGTGGAAACAGACTTCTCATCATCTGTGTTTCCTCATAATAATAATATATACATGCGGACAGATATATGTGACAAAATTTAAAATTAAAAAGTTGGTTGTTTGGAATTCAACATGAGCACCAGATTTCACCTGATTGGTTGGTTGAATTTAATCCTTTTAAAATCCTTCTTTTTCCAAACTTACTTACATTTTTCAATAACTTGTATGGTGGTGGTATGTTGTTATTTCTAGTGGTGGTCTGTAGACTGCTAAGTTAAAAGAAAGTTGCCATTTACAGAATTTTTTTGAATGTCTTCTGAAGTCTCAAGTATACGATACAGTTAATTAATCTAAGTATAATTTTTTTTACATTCTCTCTTACTAATGTCATCCACAGGGTGATAAAGGACAAATAGGACCCACAGGAGAAGTTGGAAGCAGAGGTGCTCCTGGACAAATTGGGGAAAGTGGTCCTAAGGGTGCCAGAGGAACTAGAGGTGCTGTGGTCAGTATTTGATTTGTTTCCAGAACTGAGTCACTGTGGGTGAAAAGAAATGTATCCATGCTCTTAAAGCTTCATCCCTTGATTAACTTTACAGAGAAGGCAATAGTTCCATTGAAAATAATCTATCTCCATGGGATGTGGAGAATTGTAAGCATTCCACAGTACTTAAATGGCTTAGTGGTTTCTGGACATGAGAAAGGAAAAGGGAAAAAACTGAAAATGGAAATAAAATAAGAAATGAGGTTTTTTAAAAATTAGATTGTAATTCCTAACCCAAGTAGGAAAGTTTATATGACTAGCACTTAAAATCAAGATTTAATATCTGTATAAAATTATGCTGTCATGGTTGACAAATTGCTTTGAAAATTAGGTTTACTTGAAATGAGTGGGTTGTTTTTTTCTGTGCTTGGATTCTTCATGCTTTATCTGGAGATCATTTTTTCTAACCAGCTGTGATAAATCTTTATAACATCTCTATCTTAATCTTTTGCATGAATTTTGCATGATGTTGGGAACAAATGTAGCATAATACTTCTGTACTTATAATAGCAAAATTATAAAAATTATATTGCTGATATATTTTGGATCTATTCAGAAAGTCACAGCATGAAAGAGATGTAAAATATCTTTTTAAATTATCAACTTCAGTCTTCTAATGTTTCATAAACTTAAAAAAAAATCAGGTGTATTTCCTTGTCTCCATTTAAATGTAATCAATGCTAGACACTGAATAGGCCTTTCAGAGACTATTATGTAATCCATTTGTTGTTGAGGAAGCCTCAGGTTCATCTTAAGTGTTCCATTACTTACTAATATGTTATTACCCCAGGCCTTTCCTACTCCCTTTTATTTCATTTATTAATATTTCTCTGTCTTTGACCTATATGTTAAAACCATTATATAATGTGATTAATTTTTAACAAACATAAAAACTGATACATCCAAAGAATATTGTCTTCAAAGTAGGCTCCTACTTTGGATTTTTGGCTGTAAAAGTATTCACTTTTACAATTTCAACACGCTATTCTGAAACTCCTTTCAAAGAGGTTTTACCAAATTTTTCATTCCCACCAACCATGTTTCACATTAATCCATTTGATGTTTGCCAATAGGATAAATGAGAAAATTATATCTCATTTTTCTATTTTCATTTCCCTGATTACAACTAAGTAACTTGTACTTTTTACCTACAGAAGTTGTCTACATGTCTACATGTTTTTCATTACGTGGTTGTCTTTTTCTTACTGATTTGATTCTACATATGATATGTATCTTAAATATTAATATAGTTTTGTTGAATATGTTGCAAAATGTATTACAGTGTTTTCACTTCTGTCATTTATCTTTTAATTTTGCTTATGATATCTTTAGCCATACAAAACATTTTAATTTTTACATTGTCAAATTTATTAATTTTTTTCTCTACAGTTTTGGGGTTTTATTTCTTCATTAGAAATGCCTTTCCTACCTAAAGTGTATAAAAATATTCTTATCCTAATGCTTTTATAGCTTTTCATTTTAAACTCTTTGAGGCATGGAGTTTATTTTTGGTATGAGTTGTAGATGATGAATTTTCTTCTTTTCAAATTGATACATAGTTGTCACAATTTTATCTATTGAAAAGTTGACTTATTTCTCACCTTTATGAAATACTGCTATAAACTAAATTCTCAAATAGTCACTGGTTTGTTTACATCTCTCAAACTGATAGTCTGCTTCTGGGTCTATACTATACTGTTTTATTTACTATATTGTTACAATATCTTTTGAGATCTGTTAGAGCAAGTACTCCATAACTGATTTCCTCTTTCATGTGAACTTTAAAACCAGCATCAGTTTCCTCCAAAATTGAATTTTTGTGTAAAGAAGCTATGTCTTTCCATTTACTCATACCTTCTTTTTTTTTTTAATTTTTTATTGTTGGCTGTTCAAAACATTACATAGTTCTTGATATATCATATTTCACAATTTGATTCAAGTGGGTTATGAGCTCCCATTTTTACCCCATATACAGATTGCAGAATCACATCAGTTACACATCCATTGATTTACATATTGCCATACTAGTGTCTGTTGTATTCTGCTGCCTTTCCTATCCTCTACTATCACCCCTCCCCTCCCCTCCCCTCCCCTCTTCTCTCTCTGCCCCCTCTACTGACATTCGTTTGTCCCCCTTGTCATACCTTCTTATACATACTTTGAGAAAGTTGTATTTCCTTTACTCTGTTCTTACAACTCTCTTTTAGATTTTTTCTTAGCTTTTTAATAAATTTTGCTCTCATTGTTAATATAATCTTTTTCCTTTATGTCATTGGATTGGTAAAAAACTATTTTCATATTTTGATCTCATACCCACTTTAATGAATTTAGGTAATTTTTATGGAATCTTTAGGTAAATAATAACATCACCTTCCTTTATTTATTTTTTTGACTTATTACATTGCAAAAAATTCCTGAAATAGTAGTGAATAAAAGTCATCATAAGGAAAACCTTGTCCTGTGCCTATTAGTAAAAATACGACTAATGCCTCATTTTCAAGTATTCTTTGAATTTTTTTTGGAACATACTTTTATTATTTTAAAGAAATTTATTTCTATTCTTAATCAGAGTTTTAACTACAAGGAAATGTTAAATTTTCTTAAATACTTTTATAACATTTGTTTAGATAATCCCAGGCTTTCTTTCCCTTGTTAATATAAGGAAATTCATTAATGGATTTCCAAAAGTTGAATCAACTATGAATTCCTAGGATAAATCTAACTTAGGTATGTTTGTATTATTCTTCTACTATTACTGGATTCAATTTGCTACTATTTTATTTAAGAGTTTTAGTTTCACTTATTGCATTTAGTTGTCTTAAGAATTTTGTAGGAACCAGGCAAAATGGCATGTGCCTACAGTCCCAGTTAATAGGGATTCAGAGGTAGGAGGATCACTTGAGCCCAGGAGTTTCAGACCAGCATAGACAACATAGCAAATCACTGTCTTTAAAAAAAAGAAAAAGAAAGAAATTTTGCATCTGTATTTGTAAACAATTTAGGCCTTTGGTGTTTTTTTTAATATATAGTATCTTTAATTGGGTTTGAAAAAATTTAATGTCTTATAAAATGATTTTCTACATTTTTCTGTGTTCTCTAATGGTTCTGTAATGGTTTAGAACCATCTGCTCTTCCAACTTCCCATTATCTTCCATCTTCCCATCATCTGTTCTTCCAACTTAAAAAGATCTGGGCTGTATATTATTTTATTAATAGTAGGTCTTTGCCTATCAAATTTTCTTCTTGAATAAATTTCTTTAGGTTCTTTCTAAAAATATCTTCTATTCTATCTAGATTTTCAAATTTAGATCAAACTTGTATTTGCTATTTTCTTCTATCTAAAATTTTAGAGCTAGGGGTATAGCTTATTGATAGAGTTCTTACCTGGCATGTGCAGAGCCCTAGGACTGATTCCCAACACTGCAAAAAATCACAGTACAAAAAAAAAAATTCCTGAGGTTATTTCCGAATTCTCTTTCCTGATGCTATTTTATTGTGTCTACTCTTATTTCTTGATCATACTTGCAAAAATTTAGCCATTTTATTAGTCAGCTCAAAGAATCTACTTTATTTTTTTTACTCCACTCTTTTTCTGTTTTTGTTTTTTGCAGTATTGGGAATTGACACCAGGGCGGCACTCTACCACTAAGCTCTCTCCCCAGCCTTTTTTAAAATTTTTATCTTGAGACAGGGTCTTTCTAAGTTGCTTAGCCTGGCCTTAAACTTGTGATCTTCCTGCCTCAGCCTCCCTAGTTGTGGGATTTCGCTTTCTATTTTAATAATAATTTGTGCTTTAATTTTACTTTCTTTTTTTTTAATTTTTATTGTTGGTTGTTCAAAACATTACATAGTTCTTGATATATCATATTTCACACTTTGATTCAAGTGGGTTATGAACTCCCATTTTTACCCCGTATACAGATTGCAGAATCACATCAGTTACACATCCATTGATTTACATATTGCCATACTAGTGTCTGTTGTATTCTGCTGCCTTTCCTATCCTCTACTATCCCGCCTCCCCTCCCCTCTTCTCTCTCTACCCCCTCTACTGTCATTCATTTCTCCCCCTTGTATTATTTTTCCCTTTCCCCTCACTTCCTCTTGTATGTAATTTTGTATAACCCTGAGGGTCTCCTTCCATTTCCGTGCAATTTCCCTTCTCTCTCCCTTTCCCTCCCACCTCTCATCCCTGTTTAATGTTAATCTTCTTCTCATGCTCTTCGTCCCTACTCTGTTCTTAGTTACTCTCCTTATATCAAAGAAGACATTTGGCATTTGTTTTTTAGGGATTGGCTAGCTTCACTTAGCATAATCTGCTCTAATGCCATCCATTTCCCTGCAAATTCTATGATTTTGTCATTTTTTAATGCAGAGTAATACTCCATTGTGTATAAATGCCACATTGTTTTTATCCATTCGTCTATTGAAGGGCATCTAGGTTGGTTCCACAGTCTTGCTATTGTGATTTTATTTTCTTTCTCCTCTTTTTTTTTTTTGAGTTTATAGTTCTTTTATCTATCTTGTGGAATTAGTTTAGTTCGTCTGTTTAATTTCTTTGAGGTCTGTTATAAACTATAACTGTTATATACTAAAATTTTTTTCTGTAAGTACAGAGTTCTGTGTATTTCTATTAGATCAAGCTTGTTAACTGTGTCACTCAAATCCTTATAACTTTCTTACTTTTTTTCCTCACTATTTGATTCCTTGATCTCTGAAAGAGGTTATTGAGGTCTCCCCACCCACTTAGTTTTTTAGGGGTTGCATATTTTAAAGATGTATTTTTAAATACCCTAAGGTTCATGGCTCATATTTTTTTATGAGTCACATATTTTATTTTTCATTGTAGTGGCTCCTATCCACCCAAACTTACAGCCTTTAGCTGTAGCCTTTTTGGCTACATTTCCCACACTTATTCATTTAATCTCTAGGAAATTTTGGCTGTCTGATACCTAGTACAGGCAAGGAAGTAGGAAGACCTTCTGACTCTTTCCCCAATTATTAAACCTGATCCTATCCTGCTCCTTTAATTTCTTGATTTCAGAGTTGGAAACTTCCTTCCTTGAGACCATTTGCACATCTGCAACAATTTTCTTCTTTGCACATTTTCAGCCCTGTTTTCATATCTCAAATCAAAAATTTTGGTCTACTGATGATGTTTAGTTAATAGTCTTCTGGTATTGTTATTACAAATAAATTTTTTAAAAATAGCGCGCTTTCTCTTTCTCTCTCTCTCTCTCTCTCTCTCTCTCTCTCTCTCTCATTTTTAGAATCATTACTTTTGCTTTTTACAATTGTCTATCTTTTCACTAGATTAGGGGCATTTACTGATTAGTCTTTAATTTATGTGATTTCCTCATCTGCAAGATATTGATAATAAGTAATTATAAGATTACTATCACATCTGTGTCATCACTATCTCTACTTTAACAACTTTGACCAAAACTAAAACCATATTCATCAAAGGATATGAAAACATCTACAAGTATGTAGTGTTCTCCTGCACCTCACAGAAACATTATGTAAAACTCTCTGACTTCATTTTCCAATATTTAGTGATACACAATCACCATAAACTTGGAGAGATACAAACATTTCCAAGAATTTTCTGGGGACCATCAGTATTATGACAACTGGAAATATTTCTTTTAATATGATTAAGCACATTCATAGCAGAAGTAAACATTTTTTTATAGAACTTCTGTGGTTCAAATGAAAATAAAGGACAAAAGTTGAGGCAGGAGAATGGCGAGTTTAAAGTCAGCCTCAGAAAAAGCGAGGCACTAAGCAACTCTGTGTCTAAATAAAATACAAAATAGGGATGGGGATGTGGCTAAGTGGTCTACTGCCCCTGAGTTCAACCTCCAGTACCCCCTACCAAAAAAAAACAAAAGTTGTGTGTGGGGGTGGGGGGTGTTTTCCCATTTCAGACAAGGTAGAATTTCAGACCATGAAATTCTAATGGTAAAAATGATTTAAACAAACATCTGTTTCCTCTCTTACTAATATTTATTTTGATTTTTAGGGCCCTTTAGGGATGATGGGACTTGATGGAGAATCAGGAATTCCAGGATATAGGGTAAGCATTTCTCATTAAAAATATTCACACATATACATTTATATTAAAGATGACATTCCAAATATGGAAAGTAAGATTAAATCTTCCTGATAAAACTTTCTAACATTTAGTTCTAATCCTCCTATAGAGTGAATCCTATTTTTCTTTTTAGAATAGCACAATATCTAACAGCATGGGCTTCATGGCATTAGATAGAGCATATACAAATGACAAAGAGAATATCTGCTTACTTGTCTTTTTATAGGGCCAGCAAGGTCCACCAGGACTCTCTGGGCTCCCAGGCCCTAAAGGAGAAAAGGTGTGTGTCTATACTGATATTTTAACTCTTAAGTAAGATGTTAACTTTATTAAATTTTCTGAAATAATGCATAGAAATATTTTCAAGGAATAAGAGAACAACTTTTCAAATTAGAAATTCTGCAAATTCCAAAACATAAATATCAAGGAGCTAAAAGTTAAATAAATTATTAAAATATCTTCTGTGTATTATTTCAAAATTAGGGTGAAATAATACATGTGAAATGCTTTGTGAGCTGTAGTCCTATAAAAATAAAATTAATTATTTACTGAAAGAGATTAGGAGACTCTAGATTACATGAGTTATTATAGTACATTTATATTAAAATATTTTAATGAGTTAGGAATAATTCTAACAGTGCTTTTGATTTATGATATCATTAAAACTTGACATATTGAGAAAATTCCCAGCATGCTTTTTATATAATTAAAACAAATGAATACTTTCAAGAATCATGCACAAGTTAAAACTGTGTATAAAACATTATATGCTTCATTTTTTAGGCACATTTTCCACTTAAAAAAGATAAAACCAAATTGCATATTTTCTAACTTATTAAAATACTAGACTATGTATTTATAAAGGTTATTTCATTAATTTGTTTTGGTTGATAAATCATTATTTTCATTTTAGGGTTACCCAGGAGAAGATAGCAAAGTTCAAGGACCACCTGGGCCTCGAGGTGAACCAGTAGGTCTTTTTCTAAAATATCTTGACACCTCAAGATGAAACACAGTAGTAGATTCACAACACCAATCTCATCTTTTTGTGTGTGTATGTTGCTGGGTTGAGCCCAGGGCCTTGTGCATGCAAAGGCAAGCACTCTACCAACGGAGCTATATCCCCAGCCCAATCTTATCTTTTCAAAGAGTTTTATTTTGCTAACTATGCAAGGTTAGATAGAAGAGCAGTATTTGCCATCATGAAATCTAAATAATGTGAAAGTCTTAGATATGAAAAAGATGCAGATCAAGAACCTTTTCCTAATATGTAGATTTGAGACAGTAACTTCCAAAATCTAACTTTTAGCATTAAATGCATTGTAACTTTATGCAGAAACTGTCCAAAATTTATATACTCTGTACTTTTATAGCAAATATTTCTCTAATTATCAAATTCATATTGATTTCTAAAGTATTAAAAAATCTAACCTATATACTTTTATTAATAGTTAAGTGAGTTCCAAACTCTTATAACAGGTTATTAGAACCAATAATCTTTAAAGATCATGGGTCTATATTGTAAGGACTAACTGTAACCACAGTTTTTGAAAAGTAGCTATTATTAGTAGCTTTGATTATCTGAATAACTATCTCTGTATTCATGTTGATTAAAACAATGTGTAGTAGACATATGAAAATGAAATGGGTACAATAATGCTTAGGACCCTGAAGTAAATATAACTGGTTTTATTTTCCATTTTCCACATAGTATCACTGAAAATAAAAGAATCCAAAGGCAAAAGATCAGAATATGTGGTTACTCCTGGCATTTCAGTTTGGCTCTTTGACCATGAAAGTTGCACTTTGTTTTAGAAAAAGGAAATATTCTAGAATTTTTCTGATTAAATCAAGCCATCTTACATTAGAGATGAACTTCTCTCTACAAATATGTAACTTTCTTTATCAAATATATTTTAATCTGTCTAAACCATTAAGAGATAAATAATGCAAAAATTTAAAAGCTAATAAAAAATGGCAAATGGAGTATTACAGTGCTTTCTTTTTCACAGATTTAGGTATGCCGGGATCAAAGAATGTCAGCTACCATATAATAAATACTTATGTATTAGAAGACTAATACAATTATGCTGGTTTTATCTAATAAAAATGAAACAGACATAAACTATGAATATACTAAATAATTAAAGCAGAGTTAGACAGTATTGTCTTTACATTGTGCCTATCAACTTTATCTACATAGGAATAAAAGCTCACAATGTTCCATAATAAATTATGTAGCTTTGTTAACTAATTTCAATTTAAAGTTCTGTTCAGCTGATAATTTCTAGTATGTGATAACTAATGTTTTTGAATCATTTTAGAGTACATAGTTTGACAGTTTATTATATAAAATTTTCACATTAAAAATAAAAAAGTCATGGAGTCCAAGTTTATTACATTAGCTTCTGTCTCAAGGATTAAAGTTTATGAGTATAATTTTTCTTAAATTAAATGATGCCTTGAGAATTAAAAATTTCACAGATTAAAGAATAAACCCTGGAATTTCCAATGAAGAAAGTAAAGTGGATTAATTGTTAAGATTATATTTAAATGATCTTTAAATGATCTTTTTAAATTTTTAATTGTAATTGGGTTTTCAGTATTTTTTCTTACAAAATCATTATGAGATTCTTTTTATCTAATTCAGCACTTAGCATATTTTAATGTTGGTATCATTGAAATTTAATCTTTTGATTATTTAGTGAAACAAAACAAATTATTATACATTGGAGTTTATATTTTTGTCAAAACACTACTTGTATTATCTGCATTTGTGAATGCAGCTATGAAATTGATCATTTTTGTGTGGGGTTACTATAGGGTCCAATGGGGGAACAAGGAGAGAGAGGAGAGCCTGGAGCAGAGGGATATAAGGTAATTACTGTCAGTTATACACTGTGTTTCTAAATTTAAATAGGCTTCTCTGTAGTTTTACTTAGTTTCATAAAAATAAGCACCATTGAGATGATTGGTAATGTCTTAAATTTGTAATCTTAGAAGTCTAGCTCTATTTTGTTACATTTTCTTAAAATCATCTAGTTCTTTCTTTTTTTAAGCATCAGAAATTTATTGGTTGCTCAAAACATTACATTGATCTTGACATATCATATATCATACATTTGTTTCAAATGGGGTATGAATTCTTATTATTCCCCCGTGTACAGATTGCAGAATCACGTTGATTATACAGCCACGTTTATACATACTGCCAAACAAGTGTCTGTTGTATTCTGCTGCCCTTCCTATCCCCTTCCTATCCCCCCTCCCCTCCCCTCCCCTTCCCTCCCTCTACCCCTCTACTGCTGCTTTTTCTCATCATTCAGATATCAGCTGAAATGTTCCTGCCTGAGAGGACTTAATTACTTGCCCTATTTTAAATAGATATATAATGATTATTTTGTATGCCCTACCTAAAACAGATTTAAAACTCACTTTTGATTATATTATCTGATAACTTTCATGATATGTAGTAGTGTTATTTTACCACTTTTTTATACATTTGTTTCTCTGTTTAATCTATTTTCATCCACCAAAATATAAGATTTAGGATACTAAGAATCTTGTCTCTCTTTCTCATTATTATACTCCCAATTTCTAGAACACAAAGTTCCTGGCATATATTAGGAATTCAGTTAAGTGTTGTCAAAAGGGTAGATAAATATCTTTGTACTCTCAAGACTTAAATTAATTCTTAGCCTCTTTCACTTCTTAGAAGTATTTTGTAAAACCAACTTCATGAACTAAAATTAGCTGTGTGTAGAAATTTTTTCTAGAATCACATTGGTATTGAGGATGTTTACTTCCAAAAATCTTATTTGTCTTTTGTAGTTTAGCTTAAACTCCCCTTTCCCCTGACACTCTCCTTTGCCCTGACCCACTCTAACTATAATCTTGCACTCTTGCATAGTTCTGTAATATTATTTATATGTTATTCAACACAAATATTTTACCATTGACTGTTGCTCTTGTTGTTATTGTTGCTAATTGCTTTTTAATGTGCTCCCTAGTTTGGATAGGATGCCTTTCCTATACAGCATCTAGTTTTGAACCCTGTGTATAGTAGTCTTAATAATAAATTGATAGGTTAATTGACATATCACATCCCTTTCTCAAGATAAAATTTCTGTGGTCATTTCTGAAATGCAAAATTAGATTAGCCAGACTAAATTGACAAACTGTAATTGTCATTATTAAACTCGTTTTCTCAGTTCATTTTTTGACTGAATTATTTCAGTAGCTTTCTTACTATATTCTCTGTCCCCAGTCTTAGCCTTCTCAAATCCATTCTCTACTTAATTTGTTCTGTAACATGAATCTATTTTCCATGCTCTCTCTCAGAATGTCCTCACATTACTGCCCAAAACACTCATCCTTCAAGATGGAACTTATCATCAGTTTCATTATAAAATTCTAAGTTTCCCTTGACAGTATAACTCATCCTACCACTAACATGATTAGACAAAAGTCACCATTTCCCATAAACTCTTTTGCATGATTTTATATAGTTAATTTTGACCATAACATAAAAATGGTTATTGTCAATTTTTATTAGGATGGATGAGAATAGTTACTACGGCAAAGCTCTTAGATAGTTAAATTGTTTTTGGTGAGATTTGTTTAGACTTCACAAAGCCAAGAGAGCCAACTGGCTATTCTGAGATTATTCTGAAAAGGTCTCATTTCTACTACAGACAAATATAGTAGAAAAGTCATAATTAGCTATGATAGTTCAGATTTCTGTGGCTTACTCATGTGCACATTCTCACTTCATGTTGAAACTGCAGTGTTTTATACCACTTCTCACCCAATGCCTATTTGATAAGTCACCCACAAGAAGTCATATTCACTTGTATCATGTACCCTCTTGATTGTCCTGATGCTGTTACTGACTTTACTCATGTGTTACTGCTGAGAGTCATGTGCAGTAATGGTTTCTCTTTAGTGTGGCCATATAATATATAGAAAGCTTTCCAAACTAGCATTTATCTCTTGCCACTGTTCACTTTCTTAAACAAGATTCATTTTCTTTATCAGGAAGTTGAAATTTAAAATTTAATTGCCTTACTTTATGCAAACAAAAAAATTTGCATTGACCTTTATGTGAGAATATTGTTATCCCGTGTATGCAACCTTTTCTTGTAGCCCAGAGAATATGAAACTCATAACTGTGTAAGGCACTCTTTCTGTAACATACAGAAAATAGGAAGAAAGGAATCTTAGTGAAGAAGACAATAGAGAAGGGGACAAAAGATATTTCCTGCAAATTCTTCATTCATAACTTTAATTTGACATGTCCCTAGGTTGTTGCTAGTTTATAAAGGGAAATGTGGTAGGTCAGCATTTCTTCTTAGGAAACCTAGAGTGATGACAGATTGCTGAATTTCAGAGTCATTTGATATTTCTATTGCATGCAGTATCTGCTTCCAGTCTTCATCCCATTAACTCTACTGTTCAAATGGCTATGAATCTAGTATGTAAAAATGGAGACCAATATGAACTTCCACAGGGAGAATAGGTATTGTCTATACATTTAGCCCTCTACTTTTACAATGTCAACCAACCACAGATTGAAAATATCATTTTTTAAAAAATTGCATCTGTACTGAACAAATACAGACTTTTTTCCCTGTTATTATTCCCTTAAAAATACAGTATGATAACTATTTCTGAGGTATTTACATTGTCTTATAAGGTACAAATACTCTAGATATGATTTAAAGTAGGTGGGAGGATGTTCACAAGTTATATACAAAAACTAAACCTTACATCAGGAATTTGAGCATTCTCAGATTTTGTATCCTGGAACCAATCCCCCTAGGATATCCAGGAATGGTCATATTAGTTTCCTGGGGCTGCTGTAACAAATTACCACAAAATGGATGGTTTCAAACAGCAGAATCTTTTCTTTCAATTCTAGAGAGCAGGAATCCAAAATTGAAGTGGGTAGGGCACACTCCCTCTAGAGGACCTAGGAGAGAATCCTCCCTGCCTATTGCAGCTGTGGGTAGCTGTCAGCACTCCCATGGCTGCATCATTCCAATCTCTTTCTTTGTCTTCTCCAGGCCTTTTCCCTTGTCATCTACCTTCTTCTGTATCTATTACAAGCCTACTCATTAGTGGATGTAAGGCCCACATGTATAATCCCACATATGGGACATAGGCATCTTTTGGGGAGGCCATCATTCAACTGATAACATTAACTCAAAAAAAAAACAAAAAACAGAAAGAACTCTATACTTGTTCATTATAATATATCATATTCATCATAATATCTAGCACCTATTATGTTCTACCTCATTTTCAAGAATTATAATCTCTATGATATTTAATTGAGTTTGCAACATTTCACTGCCATTTTAAATTAATAGTACCCTCTTCTCTAAGTTACATGTCTCAATTTACTCTGATAATATATTCTTCTCTATTCCTAGGGTCATGTGGGTTTACCAGGACTAAGAGGTGCCACAGGACAACAAGGGTCCCCAGTATGTTTTGAAGGCATTCTTTGTAATTCTGACATTTTAAAAAATTAACATCAAAATAACTTATTACCTCTGCTTTATATATAATTTCTGTTTTGGTTCCCATTAAAGGGTGAGCCAGGTGAACAAGGTGAACAAGGACCAAAAGGAGAGAGAGGATCTGAAGTAAGTTGAAATTGCTTAAGATGGTTTGCAACACTTATTATTTATTGTTAGCTTTAGAAAGCAGGAGCACAAGGATTTCCTATTAATTATAATTAAAATAATCATTCATCTCTCCTGATCTGGGATCACTATATGCCTTTAATAGGGTATATATTGATAATTGTACTAAACATGATTATTGATTTATATGTTTTGACTGTTACTCAATTTATTTTTACTAGCAACCTACTCTAGCTCTATGAAAATTGCCTAAAGTTGTCCCAAATTCATAGTCTTTTGGAGGTTTCAAACAGAAATACCTGCATTGTAGAGTGAAAAAGTATCAGTCAAACCTATTTAGTTGTTTTAGAGATTTTAAAGAAAAAAAATTATTCAGTAATACTTGTGAAATCATTATAATGAAGACTTTATTCAGAACTTTCACTTTTGGTATTGGGGCCACTGTAATGGGATCTTGCAATGGGGTATACAGACTGGGCTCAATTCTGAATACACCACTAACAAGTAGGAATTTATAGCCAAACAACAAGGTGAGAGGTCAGTGAATGGAAAATTACTAAGAGGAAACATCATGAGAAGGGGGATTCTGGCTAAACCAACCTAATAGCATTCTTGCTGAAGACAGACTAGCATGATCAGACAACATCTACAGGACGGTGGAAAATGACACCGGATTATGTATCAAGGGTGATCAGATATTGAGGGTGGGAAGGGGAACTTGCTAAATTAACCAGCAGGTTTCTTTGCGAAAATTGAATTTTATATGTGTGTATGTATGTGTATGTATGTATGTGTGTGTGTTTGTGTGTGTGTATATGTGTGTGTGTGTGTGTGTGTATATATATATATATATATATATATATATATATATATATATATATATATATATTTGTAGATGCACACAATACCTTTATTTTCTTTATTTATTTTTATGTGGTGCTGAGGATCAAACCCAGTGCCTCACATATGCAAGGCATGTGCTCTACCGCTGAGCCACAACCCCAGCCCCACGAAAACAGAATTTTATAAGGAAGTGAATAGGGGGGGCCTGGGAGAAGGTTCAGGAGGCTGACTAAAATCTGGCCAATCAATCTTTATCAAAAGGTAAGAGTTAAATAATAGTTTGATTATATAACACAAATACAAAATTGATTCAAAAGATTTTTCCCATAAGACAATTGGGACATTTCCCATAAGACAATGTTTAGGACAGACATTGCCTAAACATTTTGTAACAACTGGCTTTTTCATTGGCACCATCAATTCATTGCTCCTTGATTTTCGTGGCGTTCTGACTTCATATGCAATTGCTTTAAAATTAAATTCTTAAGAAAATGCACTCTAATTTAATAATAAATTAGGTGAGAATAAATTTAAAATAATAAATTTTCTTTATTTTCTTCATCATGTTTCTTCAGATTTGTTAAGCAGTCTTCACTTAGACTTGTGTTTCCCACTTATAGGAGAAAGTAATAAAATGGGATTCAATCAGATATATTGAATAGGTGTTCACAGACCTAGAAACCTTTCAGAATAGCCTTGGCATCTAACCAGTAACTTCCTGTCCAGCTCCTTAATAAGTGAGAATTAATAAATATTTAATAAAAGTATCCCACTAAAGGCAAGCCTGAATAAGAAAAAAATCAGAAAAAGAAGACTGTGGCAATATTTATTTAGAGTTTTAAAATTCCAAAATGGAAAAAGTCATAGAAAAAAACTAAAACTAGAACACTGCTACTTCTGTTATGTCACTCCCTTATATTTGCAATAGGTGCATAAGAATGCAGGTACTCTCTATAGTTTGATCCTAAAATGTCTACTTATAATTAATACTTTGATATTTGTAATGTTTTCCTTTTCCTTTTTGACATGTTATGAAGAAGAAATTCTCTGATTCGTATTAGTATCTTTTAAAATTGTGCCAATGAAAATCAAATTCTCTTCCTAAACAACTGCTTCTCTAGTCTGCATGATCAACTCTTCCTGGGTGCTGGAGCTGGGCAATGCTGCCATACAGCCCAAGGGCACATTAAAAATGCTCTTAAACGAACCTGCATAGGACCGAGGCCCAGGTAGGCCTGAGTTCATCCCGCCACTGGCAGACATCCACTGAACCTCAGGCCACAGCACAGGACCCAGGGCCATGAGTTCACCCCCCCCCCCCCCATACACACCTGGGAGTCCAGGCCTAACCCACTTCCATCTTGGGACACTGCAGACATCACCATAGCCTTCCCCACACAGTAGCCTCTATCTTTCGACAACAGACAGGGTCTAAAATCAACTGCATCTCAAAGCAGGCATTCCAAAGATAGTGTAAGGTCCACCCTTTCAGCCCCATCTCTGAAAGATGTTGCATCCATCTTGAGACACCTCCATGCTATCTCAATATATCTCCACTGTTGCTGTCACCCTTTAGTTGCAGTAGCATATATCTAGGGATACCTGCAGAGTCTGGAAGCCCAACATCAAGGTGAGGTACAGATAATCTGCACAGATACTACAGGATTATAGAGTAGAAACTATAATGTCTCAGATCCACACTGCAAGAGAGGAAGACACTTAGACAAAAACAAGGGAGGAAAGTACCCCAAACAAACTAGGATACTACAATAACAGAACCCATGAACAGCAAAGTTAATGAAATGTCAGAGAAGGAGTTCAGAATGTTCATAATTGAAAAGATCTGTGAATTAAAGAATGACCTCAATGAACAAATATAGGCAAAAATTGATCGCTTCAACAAAGAGATAAGAGAGCAAATACAGGTAGCAAAAGATTACTTCAAGAAAGAGGTAGAGACTCTTAAAAAAAAAGACAGAAATCCTTGAAATGAAGGAAACAATAAACCAAATAAAAAACTCAATAGAAAGCATCACCAACAGACTAGATAACTTGGAGGAAAGAATATCAGATAATGAAGACAAAGTATACAATCTAGAAAATAAAGTTGACTACACAGTGAAAATAGAAAGAAACTAAGAACAGAACATCCAAGAATTATGGGATAGCATCAAAAGACCAAATCTAAGAGTTAATTAGGGTAGAGGAAGGCACAATGTTTCAAAACAAAGGAATGCACAATCTCTTCAATGAGATAATATAGGAAAATTTCCCAAGCATGAAGAATGAATTGGAAAATCAAATACAAGAGGCTTACAGGACACCAAATATACAAAATTACAACAGATGTACACCAAGGTACATTATAATGAAAATGCCAAACATAAAGAAGAAGGATAGAATCTTAAAGGCTGCAAGAGAGAGAAATCAGATCACATATAGGGGAAGACCAATTTGTATTTCAGCAGATTATTCAACCCAGACAGTCAAAGCCATGAGATCCTGGAACAACAACAACAAGCTCTGAAAGAAAATGGATGCCAATCAAGAATCTTATATCCAGAAAAAGTAAGCTTTATATTTGATGATGAAATAAATACCTTCCATGATAAACAAAAGTTAAAAGAATTTACAACTAGAAAGCCTGCATTACAGAACATCTTTGGTAAAATATTCCACAAAGAGGAAATGAAAAACTGATGAAAATCAGCAAAGAGAGGTTTTACACTAAGGGGAAAACCAATCAAAGAAGAAGCCAAGTGAAGTTAAATACCAAAAATAAACAAAAATGACTAGGAATACAAATCACGTCTCAATAATATCCCTGATTGTTAATGGCCTAAACTCACCAATCAAAAGACATATAGCAGGTTGGATTTTAAAAAAAGAAGAAGAAGAAGAAGACTCAACAATATGCTGCCTCCAAGAGACTCATCTCATAGGAAAAGTCATCCACAGACTGAGGGTGAAAGGTTGGGAAAAATCATACCATTCACATGGACTGCAGAAGCAAGCAGAGGTTTCCATCCTCATATCAAATAAGTTTAGTTTGAAGCTAAACTTAATCAAAAAAAGGATAAAGAAGGACATTTTATACTACTCAAAAGAACCGTACATCAACAAAACAAAACAATTATAAATATATATGCCCCAAACTATGGAGCATCTGTGTTCATCAGACAAACTCTTCTCAAGTTCAAGAGTCAAGTAGACCACAATACATTAATTTTGGGTGATTTAATATACCTCTTTCACCACTTGATAGATCTTCTAAACAAAACCGAACAAAGGAAATATAGAACTCAATAATACAATCAATAACCTAGACTTAACTGACATGTAGAATATATCATCCTTCAAGGAGCAAATACACATTCTCAGCAGCACAAGGATCCTTCTCTAAAATAGACTATACATTATGCCACAAAGCAACCCTTAGCAAATACAAAAAGTAGAGATATTACTCTGCATTCTATCAAATCATAATGGAATGAAACTAGAAAACAATGATAAAATAAAAATAAAAGCTACTTCAACACCTGGAGATTAAATAATATGCTACTGAATGAACAATGGAGTGCAAAAAACATGAAAGAGGAGACTTAAAAATTTTTAGAAGTAAATGAAAACACTGATACAACATACCGAAATCTCTGGGTCACTATGCATGCAGTTCTAAGAGGAAAGTTAATTATATGGAGTTCATTCCTTAAAAGAAGAAAAAGTCAACAAATAAACGACCTAACATTATATCTCAAAGCCCTGGAAAAAGAAGAATAAACCAACACCAAAATTAGTAGAAGACAGGAAATAATTAAAATCAGAACTGAAATCAAATTGAAACAAAAAAAGCAATTGAAAAAATTTACCTCCCAAATGTTGGTTCTTTGAAAAAATAAATAAAATTGACAAACTCTTAGCCATGCTAATGAAGAGAAAGAGAAAACTCAAATCACATATGTGATAAAATAGGAAATATCACAACAGATTACAGAAATACAGAAGATTAATTAGAAATTATTTTGAAAACTTGTACTCCAATAAAATACAAAATATCGAAGGCATCAAAAATTTTCTAGAGTCATATGATTTGCCTAAATTGAATCAGGATGATATACAGAATTTAAACAGATCAATTTCAAATGATGAAATCGAAGATGCCATCAGAAGCCTACCAATCAAGATAAGCCCAGGACTGGATGTATACACAGCTGAATTCTACAAGACCTTTAACGAATAACTAATACCAATACTTCTCAAATTATTTTGTGAAATAGAAAAAGAGGGAGCACTTCCAAACCCATTCTATGAGGCCAGTATCACCCTGATTCCAAAACAGGCAAAGACACATCAAAGAAAGAAAACTTTAGACCAATATCTCTAATGAACATAGATGCAAAAACTCTCAATAAAATTCTGGAAAATTGAATACAAAAACATATCAGAAAGATAGTTCACCATGATCAACTGGGGTACATCCCAGGGATGCAAGGTTGGTTCAACATATGGAAATCAGTAAATGTAATTCATCACATCAATAGACTTAAAGATAAGAATCATATGATCATCTCAATAGATGTAGAAAAAGCATTTGACAAAATACAGCACCCCTTTATGTTCAAAACACTAGAAAAACTAGGTATAACAGGAACATACCTGAACACTGTGAAAGCTATCTATGCTAGACCCCAGGCCAATACATTTTAAATGGAGAAAAATTGAAAGCATTTCTCCTAAAAACTGAAACAAGACAGGATACCTTCTTTCATCACTTCTATATAACATAGTTCTTGAAACACTGGCCAGAGCAATTAGACTGATGAAAGAAATTAAAGGGATATGGACAGGAAAAGAAGAACTCAAATTAGCACTATTTACAGATGATATGATTCTATAACTAGAAGACCCAAAAAATTCCACCAGAAAACTTTAATAACTAGTAAATGAATTCAGCAAAGTAGCAAGATATAAAAACAACACCCATAAATCAAAGGCATTTCAATGACACATCAGTGACAAGTACTCTGAAAGGGAAATGAGGAAAACTACCCCATTTACAATACCTAAAAAAATAATAATAATACCTAGGAATCAACTTAATGGAAGAGGTGAAAGACCTCTACAATTAAAACTACAGGATGCTAAAGAAAGAAATTAAAGAAGACCTTAGAATATTGAAAGTTCTATGTTGTTCTTGGATAGGCAGAATTAATATTGTAAAAATTACCATACTACCAAAAGCACTATACAGATTTAATGCAATTCCGATCAAAATCCCAATGGCATTCCTCATAGTTGGGAGGCCAACTCTTGATCATATCATTGCATGGTAGAAAGAAGTCTAAAGAGCTCTCTGAAGTCCCTTTTATAAGGATGCAAATCCCTTTTACTAGGGTTCTAATCTCAAGACCTCATCACCTCCCAAAGGTCTAACATTCTAATACCATTAGACTGTGCCATTAGGGTTAGGATTTCAACACGTGAATTTGCAGGGCACCAGACATTAAGCCCATCACAGTAACAGTGTTTTATATTTTATTGATCTATATGTACTTAACCCTCCATTGTAAGACTGGTGTTTCTTGCCATCCTACTTTCTGTTTGTTATGATAACAGTTGTAATAAGGCACTCTTCCTGAATGGAACAGCTGAGACCATAGTCTTGTTATGGGTTAAATACTCCTAGTGTTTACGGATAGATTTTGCCATAATTGCCTTGCTATCATTAGCAAAATACACTTTTAAAATATTTCTCATATTTACAGTGTTCCTTTAGCATTATTCTATTATAAGCTGCTCCAAGTCTGAATAGCATTGTTTTTTTAATGATGATTGGCCCACAGATGTAGATTTCAGAGCACAATATATAACTCTTCTGAAATTATCTCCAACATAAGGATCCTGCCAAAATGTAATTTATTTGTAATAATATGTGAATTTTTTATCTTCATTTTATTATTTGAATGTTTGTAATAAGATGCATATATCTGTGATATACTAAAAGGATAATTTCCTTTGTATTCTTTATAATGGAACTTAACATCTGTTCTGAGTGTTCCTCCTACCTGATAGTAGAAACCTGACTAGTAGAAATCAAATCAATCAACTGCTATTAACTCTACCTACTCAAATGTGTAGCATTTGATTTGGAATATCCCCGTTTACTTTCTTCTCAAGTTTGTAGTAACATTCAGAGTTGAAATGGTAGGGAAAAGGCGTGAGAGGTAACTTTAATCTTCTCTTATCATCCATTCATAGTAGCATCCACTGAAATGTACATCATCCCTTTTGACCCCTAATTGCCCTTATCCCATTGTGTTGGCAGCTACCCTGACCCTCCTGGCAGAAGTTCTCTGACCCATGTCTGCATGCACAGCTATTTTTCATCTTAGTATAAAGCAAGGCCTCCTCAGATAGGGCTCTCAGAGCCACACCCTTCTATTCTTGGCCACAAGGAAATAACATTCTGTTGCTCCTTCCATAATGTTAGGTGTTTGGGGATCTCAGAGAGATATTCCTCTGTTTTACTCATCTCATGAAGAAATGTGTTGCTAACACTATATGTGTCACTATTAGTGCACTATATGTGGAATTCTCAATAAGGACTTTAGTAGCCCTGGGTATCATCTTTGTGCCCAGACCCCCAAAATAATCTACAAGTATTATTGTCTCTATCTACCCCAAGGCTTGAGGGCAGGATGGAACAAAGGGTTCTGCTCAGGGTCCCTGTCAGTGTCTAACAGTCTTAGTTCTCTTCTGTTTCTCTTTTTCCCTTTTTCAAATTTGAATATTTTTATATTCTCTTACAAAGGAAAAATTCTTATATTTTTATAATTATTCTTAGTCTATTACTTATGGCATGAATTTTATGACTTGAGTTCTTTATAACCCTTTTTTGACACTAAAAGGTAGACTATTAATATTTAAGAATTAGGCTTTTGTATTTTAAAAGCTCAGTTTGAAACTGAAATTATATTTTTATCAAACTACTACCCAAACCGTGGATTTCACTGGACCATTTTGAAAATTCATCATCCAAGCACAATTCTATTTTGAAAATCAAGTCTACGACATATTTATCTGTTTGCATAAAAAGAAATGCTGTGAAGGAAAAACACGCTGGTTAACATATTTAAAGATTACCATCATTAGTACCATTAAATGTGACTGAAATAAGAACTTTTTCAATATTTTAAAAGTATTTGCTTATTTTATTTCTTTATTGTTTTCTGAAAGACATATTTAACTCTAAGTACCATATTTTCCAGAAATCCTATATACTTCAACTAAACCTAGGTCACCAGTAACCCATTTTCTGGTTTCCCTACCCTTAGAAAGATTGCATTACTGATTTTTAAGGCAAATAAAAATTTTCAAGGCTGAAAGTAGAATACTTGATGGATATATCTCCTCATTATCAAATTTTTTAAAAGCTGGGTTTTTAATTTCATATGGAAAAAGCTGTTTTCCTTTGTGATGATATATACTGTTTCTTCTAAAATGTCTAAACTCGTTTTCAGAAAATATAACATCTAAATTGGTTTTCTTTATGTGTGCCTATAATTGTTAAGTTGACTCTTTGGCACAATTTTTCTTTTACTTTTAAAAACTTAACATCCCAGGTAGAATTATCCTGTTTGTGAGAACTTTTGATGATTTCTGAGAAGTGTATCTAGTAATGACAATAATTCTTTTTCTTTTTGTATACTGGATCACTCTTTTCCATATTTTTCTTCTTAAAATAATTCTGGGATATCATCAGAACAATGGAATGATTTGCAAGGGCAAAGTTCCTAACTATCCTGGCAGACCAGTTACTGCTGAATCAATTATGATTTAAAACAGCTCACACATGGAAAAACAAACAGTTCCATGGGAAACAGATATCTGTTCCTTGATTTGCAAGTATGTTCTTTGGGCTTCCAGAGAAGTACATTTTAGGCTATTGGTTCATGCCCCTCACTACAGCATAAGTGCCTTATTATCAGGAAGTTTGCCTTTGCATGCCTAGCACATAATAGAGTCCATGAAACATGATACTTCAGAAATGATTACTGAATTTAGCTTTTTTCAAAAGGGAATAAAGGCTCTGCCTGGAAGTGGGGACTTTTACTTGTAAAATTATGATTTAAGTTCCTCCGTTATTAACTATGATTTTAGTTTTTAAGTTCATAGAATTTGTGGCTAAAAGAAAATTCATAGGTGGTATGATCAAATTCACTCATTTTCAGATGAAGAAACTAGCTCCCAGGGAAGGTAAGCAGAAATTTGAGTAATGTACAATTTAGTAGCAGTACTTGATGTAGCATCCAGGTCTCAGCGTTCTTTTCTGTGGCTTCACTTTAAGTAAGTTTATTACCATCAATTGACAATTGTGCTTCCCATTTTTAGGGTCGTAAGGGGAGAAAAGGAGCTCCCGGTCCTTCTGGGAAACGTGGCATTCCTGTAAGTAACAGGCCTCTTTTATCTTTCCTGTTTTTTAAAATAAAATTGACAACTTTAGCAAGCAGAAAAGTTTGGGGCCATTTATGTCATGTTGGATAAATCAAATTGTCTTGGAAAAAAATTTAAACCCATGCTGGAACACACAGGGAACAAAATATGACCACTAACTCAAAACCATACTTGCTGTTTAAATATAAATCTCTGCAAATGAGGAATGTTCTTTTCCTGTGTTATGTAGCCTTCTCCTGCATCATGGTGAACTACTAGAAAAACAGGGAACTTAAAATCATGAATAAATGAATTATAACAAAGATCAGAGATCTTCAAGCATAATTAAAAAGATCTTAGCTAGGTTTTAACTGGAGAAGTTGGCATCTCATTCTCCTGGTAAATATAACAAAAAAAAAAAAATCTTTGGATTTTTTTTTCTGATTTTTTTTTAATCACAGAACAAAAATCAATTTTAACCTTAGCATCAGTTTCCTCCTCTGGCCAGGCAAATGTGAGATGACTAGTTTATTAGCAAAGACTTCCTGCTGTTGTCTCCAAGCTGCCTGCTTTGTGTTACCTACTTGGTTCAAAAAAAGTAGAGAAGATGAGGATAAATTATAAACACATTCAAATTAGAGATGCCTACAGAAAACCCAGTTGTCCAAGAGTAGAAACAAAATGTTCAGACCTTTCTTCAGTCATGTAATTATCTGATTTAAAGAGCAACAAAGACAGCCATAATTTGTTCCTTGAGAAAATAACAGTGGAAGGTTTTGCAGATGGTGACTGACAGCCTACATCCTAAGCTGACAAGTACACATAGCTGACCTTTTCTTGACAGCTAGATAAAGCATGGACTGGCAGGATGAGAAATATCAGAGAATTACACTAAGGCTCAGAAGGCCATACAAAAATTGCTGATTACCTTGGGGTTTTTTGGTTTTGTTTTGTTTTGTTTAGGGAACTTTTAAAGACAGCTATCTATTGAATCCAAATTGTAAATCATTAAGAAATCCAGAAAACAAAAAAAATTGTTCTGGCACAAGGTATACAAGTGTAAACTTATACCCCAAACCTAATAAGTACAAAAGTATTTGTCATTGAAACATCTGTCCTGAATCTCTTTATAATACAAGTAATGTTTTAATTATCAAGGGATTTCCAGGCCTTCCTGGGCCAAAAGGAATTCGAGGATACCATGGAGCAGATGGCATTTCAGGAAACCCTGGAAAAGTTGGGCTACCAGGAAAACAAGGACTTCCTGTAAGTAGTGTGAATATCTCTTTGTTCTTGACTGTTTATGCATAAGTGTCTCCTTGCTAGACCATAGATATTGGGGCCCTTTCTTGGCATTGGCATTGGCTCAGATTAAGCCAATCATTTCTTTAATAGTTATTTTGGAATTATATTTATGATTCCCAGGAATGCCAATGGATATATTATCTTGGTTATTTTAGATCTAATTACTCATAATAATAATTTATACATTTTTATGTGTATAAAACTTCTTTTATAAAGAACTATAAAGAAAATAAATTTTAGGGCTACACAACGTGGCTATGCTTTGAGTTCATCAAATGTCCTAAGCCACCTTTGGAACATTTACGTCTTGGCAGTAACTCCAGGTGAGTTCTGCCAAAAATCATTTTCCCTTTACTTTTACAGCCCTGATATTTTCAAGAACTGTTGTAAATATTTTCTCAGTTTTCATCTAGGGGTGAAATAATTATATGGATTCACACTTGTTTTTATGTAAATTTCTGCCTTATTTATTTGATCAGAAATTTTAAAACCATCTTCACTTAGCCATTTTTCCTCTTCCCGATTGATAACATAATCCAGATTTTTTTATTAGTTGCTTATGACAATACAATGATCTTGACATATCATACATTTGATTCAAATGGGGTATGAATTCTCATTTTTCCACATGTACAGATTGCAGGATCACATTGGTTATACAGCCACGTATATACACACAGCAATACTAGTGTCTATTGTATTCTGCTGCCCTTCCTATCCCTCACTCCCTCCCCTCCCCTCCCCTCACCTCTCTCGACCCAATCTATTGTGACACATTTCTCTTTTTTTTTTTCTTCCCCCTCACATCATCATATATGATTGTATAACGATGAGGGTCTCCTTCCATCTTCCGTGCAATTCCCCTTTTCCCTTCCATTCCCTCCCACCCAGATTTTGTTTTTTATCCCAGGTTTTGTTTTCACTTGAAACATTAGAAGAATTAACTATATATATTCAAGAACTCAGTAAAATTTATCCTTTTACATTCCCAATGTTTGGATATAGTTATATATTGGTTTCTGTTCTTAAACAACAAATCCTAGTTTATTCAAATCTTGCATGGTGGTGTACTAAACTCAAGCCAAAGTAATATTCTTCTTTTAGTATGGTTATCTCATCTGTTTAAAAACAAGAACAAAAAACAATGAAACTGTGATCTAATCAATTTAGTTATTTCACCAATAAATGTCTACTCAGATTCTATCTGAAAAGTCTAATATTTTAAAGAAATCTTAACACGGTTCTGTTTGTCTTAGAGGAAATATGTCAGAGCATCAGGTTATAGCCTAGATAATTTTGGTGACCAGGATGAAGTTAATTAAATTAGATATTCTATAAGCTTCTGCCAGTAGCATCTATCTAGTTAAAGAGGACTTCCATTTGAGCTCCTGGTCTTCATGCCACTCTTCAGGCTCACCTTATGATAGTCTTACAATGAAATTATAATTTTAAAAATACAACAACAAAACCCTTTGGGTTGGTCTGAGAGTTTATATTTTTAGTAGATTATATTTTCCTTGGAAATTTTACCATGAATCTTTTCATATTGCTTTGAATAAGATTTTGAGAATCCAAACAAGAAAAACCACATTTGAAAATATGTCATGTTTCTTGCTTAATCGTAGAGATAAGTGATAAATTCAAATAAATTTATTTAATTACTTTGTTAATTTATTAAATTGGTCATCAGCTAGCTTATTTGTTAATAGTAATAGGAAATAATTTATACTCTAGCTAAAGTATTACTAATTCAGATATTCACCCCAGAAGTGGATAGTAGAAATCATTATCTTACATATATATATTTAGTCAGAATTTCATATATTCATTATATGAAATATTAGTCAAAACACTAATGACACATCAAAGTAATGATTTATTTTTTTGTCAGATTATTTAATAGTTTTTTTTTGTGTGTGTGTGTGTGTGACAATTTGTTTCTGTCATTATGTGGTACCTGAAGGAAGGGCAGTTCTTTAGAACAAAAACATCAGTTTGCATTGTAAAATTATGAGTCATTTTCTCTTACAAAAAAATACAGAGTAGCAACTATTATCTGCTGTTAGTTTCTAGCAAGAAAGTAGACATTTTCTATGGGACTATACATCCTTCTTCAATAGTGAGGAAATACTTAAAGTATAGTAAATTAGTGGATAAGAGAAAATCATTATAGAAAATACTAAATTAATGCAAATAAGTTGCTGATTGTCTTCAATGCTATTCTCTGCCTTTTTCTTTGAATTTGCCTCACTAGTTTTATTGTTTGTGTGGGTGAAGGCTCATGTATAAAATCAAAACACTGGCTAGCTAGAACAGATAAGGATAAGGGAATTTAATGTCAGATATGAGATTTTTTTTTCATTTTAAAACCCAATTCCTGGGCTGAGGTGTTTGCTCAGTGGGCGTGCCTGGCACGTGTGAGTCACTGGGTTCGATTCTCAGCACCACATATAAATAAATAAAATAAGATCTATTGACAACTGAAAAAAATATTTAAAAAAAAAAACAACAATTCCAACTCTGGATATCAGCCAGGCCTCTTTGGTTGCAAATAAAAATCGACTCTAATTTAAGTTGACAACAAATTATAGGCTGGAAACCGGGTTGTTTACAGAATCAGGTTGAAGATCCAAGAAAAGAAAATAACAAGTGTTGGTGAGGATGTGGAGAAATTTGAACCCTAAAGCATTGTTACTGGAAATGTAAAAATGTGTAACACAGTAAAAGACAATAAGGCAATCTCTCAAAACTTAAACATAGAGTTACTATATTATCTAGCAATTCCACTGTTGGGTATATATTTAAAAGAATTGAAATCAGTGACTTAAAATATTTTTTAAAATAAATTTGATTGTGAATATTTAAAGTATACAAATGATGACATGTGATACATATAAATAATAGATTATGATAGTGAAGGAAATTAACATATCTATCATAAAAAGATAATTTTATATCAATATTTTAGCAGTATTATTCAAATAATCAAAATGTTTAAAAAAAATTAGAAGTTCATCAACAGTGGAATGAATAAGTTATACAATGGAATATTATTCAACTTTAAAAAGTAAATTTTGTTTTGGGGGGTTTTGTTTAATTTTCATTTTTTAAAGTAATCGGGATCAAACCCAGGGCCTCACACATGCCAGGCAAGTACTCTACCACTTAATTACATTCCTACCCCTATCCCTAAAAGGGTATTTTTAACATATGCTACCATAAGAATTAACCTTAAGACACCACGCAAAGTGAAATAAGCTAGACACAAAAGGTCTAGCTTATTGTATGATTCCATTTAATGAGGTACCTAGAGAAATTAAATTTATAGTCACATAATAGGATTGTGGGCTTTCAGAAAGGGTTATTATTTAAAGGGTAAAGAGTTTTGGTTTGGGAAAATAAGTAATTCTAGAAATGGAATGGTAGTGATGATTGTACATCAATGTGAATATGAATATACATTTTGCCACTGAACTATGCACATAAAAATGCTTAAAATGATAAATTTTTATATGTATTTTATCACATTTTTTTAATTCAAAAAATAAGAAAACAGTATAAGCTTCCACTATAACCAGAGATGATCATATAACTACAATCTAACAGCCCCAGAAAGGCTGGAAATTTCTCTTTCCCCAGTTCTCAGTGACCTAGTAAATGAACACAGGTCCTCTGAATGAAGAAAGCTTGCACAAGAAGTCATACTATACACCTTTGATCATATTGCATGTTTCTTTCTCAAAGCTTGTCTTCCCCTCAAGGAAGTTTGGTCTAGGAACAGGCATGAGTCTGAGAATTGACAGCATTAATATGTTGACAGCATGGGAATTTAAGTTAAATTTGTACCCATAAGAACCAGAAGTTTCCTACTAAATATCAATATTTTCTAGGAAAGTATGGCATAGATAATTCCTAAAGGTCCTGTGTTCAATTAATCATCATCACAGATGTGGACATGTCAAAACATTCTGAATTTATCCCATATTGTGGCTTATCGTCATACTTTTACCTTTCTCTGGTTGTAAAATACGATCTTGGACTCTACCATTCAAGAGAATTGCAGTATTCACATTGAAATCAGAGAGCCTAATTCCAATGGTATTTCTGAATACCTTGGTAAAGAATCTTCTTTGACCCTTCCAATGGAGATAGATCAGATTACATATAATATAGTCATTTCCACATTTCTATTCTTCTGAGCCTTAGGATCCCTTTCCATACAGTATACTTGGAAAGATGTAGCATTTTAGTTTTATTGACTATAGGCCACAATTGAGTCTAGGCTTCAAACTTACAGTTAATCAGATTATTAATGGTGCTCCCAGGTGCTTCAATAAGGGCTGCCTTCACAAGCAAGGACGATTAAGGGAGACTGAAGGTTCAGCATTCTTAGTTTTATCCATGTCTGCTCAAATGTCCCGATTCCTTGCCTTGGAGTTCTACTGTTTTACTACCAGTGTTCTATCTAGCATGAAACATGTAGTTAGTTAAAGATACATTAACATGCAAACTCTACAAACCTTATAGTGTATTGGGTCTTCATCTATATCTGCCTTGTGAATATAAGAAATTCATTCCCATCACACCTCTGTGGTAAGCCACCAACCAGCAACTAGACAGTAAGGGAACCTGCTTGACCATACAGCAGGGTAAAGAACCAGGGAGATTGCATCTCAAAAAGCAACCTTATAACAGTCAACCAACTAATTTATACACTCACATTTATGCATGGGCCTTTAGCAGCAGTCCACTCCATGGTTAGCAACTACATTGGTAAACCAAATCATCCTATTTTTTTATGTCCTTTGAACTAAGAATAGTCTTTACAATTTTTTTTTTAATTTTTTATTGTTGGTTGTTCAAAACATTACATGTTTCTTGATATATCATATTTCACACTTTGATTCAAGTGGGTTATGAACTCCCATTTTTACCCCATATAGTCTTTACAATTTTTAATG